TAAACAGTGCTCCAGTTGGCTAACACAGTAAATACTGACCAGTGATTCAGTGAACAAATAGAATGATATACTCAACTAACTATGTAAACATAATTGTAACATATAAGTAAGCAAACTTATGTATGCTCTAAACTAAATCTTAACTATGATAGAATTACCATACGCAAACAAAGTAAACACACAGGTTGACTAATCAACAAGCATAATGTTAATCTTCTACTAATTAAGTTCTTAATTCATCAAAAGTATGACTTAATAATAATAATGTTACCCAACACATGTGATGAATCTTTTTTTCACATGGGTGCACCTGTTGTATACTATATATATTGAGCACACTCAAATCGCATTCATTTTTGTAATATTTGCATAAATTTACATGAGCTACAGTATTGCTAAAATGTTACACAATTTATACCACTGTTTGTGGGCATGTGCCATTTCTTACAGATATCCAGTACTTACACTGTATCACACCCATTACATATGTGAGAATTGGAAGCTGCTCATTATTGTGAGCTGTGCAACCATATATAAACCCATAATGAAAGAATTTATCATTTATGAGACTGCATAGAAATCTCTTGGGCTCTATTAGTGCCCATCATATTTAAAACATTACTTACAGTACAAACTCCATTACAATTTCAATCTGATTGTGGCAGACTGATTAACCACACATAATCTTATAGTAATGACAATGTTTAAAAATATGCTACTCATGAATATTTGAATAAGACCTCAACATAATGTAAAATGCTGGAATTATTCCAATGACAGCTCAGATTTATTAGCTTTCCCTCTACTTGTTTAAACAGTAATGGTTTGGAGAGTTTACACAACAGCATGCAGTGTGTATCACCATCCAAAATACATCCTTTTCCCCTGCTCATAAAGACAAACACTAAAAATGTCTCATGGATTTTATTTTAATAAATTTTAGTAAAATGAGGTAGCTTTGCTTCAATTGGACATTTTCACCATTTAATTCCCCAGAAGTGTTTTACAAAATAACCATGTACTTCAACAAAACTTTTTTTCTTTTTGTGCAGAAAACACAATGATCAAAATTAGAGAACAGCAATGACTGTAGCACAGAGAAAAATCACAGCTAAATTAGTAGGAAGTGTACAAGCCCTTGCTTTGAATAACTTCAGCACATCTGCAGCCACAGGGCATCACTAGTGTCTCACACTGCTCTGGTGTGATTTTGGTCTACTCTTCTTCCAGTCTCTTCCACAGTTCGGCGACTGTAGTGGGTTTCGTGGCCATGACTCTGTTGCCAAGGATTTTCCAGAGGTTTTCTACTGGGTTTAGATCAGGATTATGGGCTGGCCATTTCATTATTTCAGTGTTTTCAGTTTCAAAGAACTGCTTTACTTGTGTGACAGGGGGCAATGTCCTGCATGAAAATTGCTGGCTTCTTGGGTGATGAACACTGGGGAGGAACCGCATGTTGTTGAAGAAGGTTCTAATAAACATTTGCATTCACTCTGCCTTCTTCTACACCACTACACACACCTCACTGGGGAGGCAACAGTGGTGCAGTGGTAGAGCAGTCATCTCCCAACCAGAAAGTTGAAGGTTTTAATCTTGGTGCCAGCAGTCCACGTGTCAAAGTGTCCTTGGGAGAGACACTGAACCCCCCCCCCCGATGGCTAGAGCCATCTTGAGGTGGTGCCGCAGATGGCTGCTATCGGTTCTGTACTGGAAACAAATTCCTTGTGTGTAACATACTTGGCCAATAAAGGTGATTGTGATTATCCTTATCCTCACCACTTCTCATCTCTCCTTCCAGTTACCTGTAACACTGAAGTGATCTGTTAACTTGCACATCCTCTACTCACAGAATAATGCTCTGTGCACACTTCATATGCTGATACTGTATATTTATTTTTGCACTATTAACCTCTATTGAACTGTTCACTCAAGTAACTTATCTTCTTATTCTGCACTGTTTCATTCCATCTCATCCCATTACACTAGTGTTCTATAAGCTTAATGTAACTTATCCATTACTTGTAATTTGAATCCATAGTCTGTTGTATACTGTACATTACCCTACATATCTCACTGTAAATATCTATTGTACATATCCATTGGTAAATTAGTACTGACTGTACATACTGCGCACTCTGCACTGCTGTTAGATGCTAAACTGTAATTTTGTTGCCTTGTACTTGTGCATGGGTAATGACAAAATCTAATCTAATCTTTTCAAATAACATTTAAGTAGTTCATACTGTGCTTCACAATATACAGTATGTAACTAATGAAATATGCTTAAAATACTGCTCTTTTACTCGTGTTTGGATAATTTCAAATAGGACTAAGGAGTGACGTTGACATTTAGGAAGTTGTAGGTTGTTCTCTAATTTTAATCTCCAGTGTATAGTTTTCATCTCAGTATAACCTCAGAACACACTAGACATTTCATCAACAATAAGTGGTAAACCTTTCTTTCTTAGCAGATTCTCAGTCATCCAGGTCATAGTAAGCAGAAAAAAACTGGACTAGATTTCTAGGTCGAAGACGTTTCACCTCTTATCCAAGAGGCTTCATCAGTTCTGGCTCAACACCAGTCAGTCAAGTTTTTTTTTCACCTTTCTTTCTTAGCCTCACCTATATGTTCCCAAAAAAAGGGGATTAAACCCATTACCTGCCCTCATTTGTATAAATGCAAAGTAGTCTCATTATTTCATTACCAGGGAAAAGAGAGGGACTAGTATGAGAAGAATGCATCTGTGAGCCCTCATCCCTCAGTAACATCCTGTGGAAAAGGAAGCTCCCCAGTAGCATGTTTTATATAATGCAAATGAAGCATTGCCACATCATCAAAGCCCATATCACATTCAAAGCACTCCCATTCCCAATACTTATGCTTTCTGTGCACATGTGTTTCCTGCAAGTCACTCTTGTCCAACTCCTGCCTTGCTTGTGGCTGTGTGGTTTCTGATTTCGATGGATCTGACCTAGTCGAGGTAGGCGGGTGTGAAAGCTTGAAGTCATGCATAGGCTCTCCACAATCAGACTCTTCAGACTTATCCTGATCCCCAAACTCAGCATCCTCACATGGCTGTTGTCTTTCACTTTCCTCTGCACTTTTTTCCTTTCCTGGCTGCTCATCCATGTGTGTGTTCATATCGGGCTCCTCTTTAACACTAGTAAGCATCTTCATTTTAATCCTTCCCTTCTTTGCCATAATCGCAGAATTCTTGATCCCCAGAGACCTCCTTTTGGACCCAACATGAAATCTATGATACCTGTTTCTGTGACCAATCAGATTACCAGGTTGAGCAAAGCTCTTCCCGCAGAATGAGCACTGGTGAGGCTTTGCTCCGGTGTGGGTGTTTGAATGATTTACAAGATGTGAAGACGTTTTGAACCTCCTGTGGCAAATGTCGCACTTATGTTGCCTCAGACTGTGACCCTGCAGGTGTCCATCTAGTGACCCTTCATCTCTGAAGCCTTTGGCACAAACTAAGCACCAAAATGGTTTCTCTTTATGGACTTCAGTGTGACTCAGCCATGCCTTTACAGAAGTGAAGGTTTTGTTACACTGATCACATCTGGGAGGTTTTGATCTAAATGGTTTGTGTGACCTGTGAACTCTGAGGTGGCCAAGTAGCCGTGTTCGCCTGACAAATGACATGCCACACTCTGGACACTCGTATTTATTTAAAGTCTGGATACTTTTTGGTGCTGAAGGGTGGTTTTCGTGTAGCTGCTGGTGTTTTCTGAATGAAACCAAATAACTATAGATCTTCCCACAGACCAAACAAGTATAAAACTTCCGAAGGTTATTCATCATCGAGTCTGTGGGTACTCCATCACCTTGTATTAATTCCAGTGGTTTTGATTGTAATGAACTGCTCATGTCACACCCACCGCCATCTGTGTTTTCATCTCCATTTTCTCTGTCATTTCTTCCAGAGACCAGTTCTGCTGCAGGCTTCCTGCAGTCTCCTGTCTCAGCCTCCTCCTCCTCCTCCTCCTCCACCGCATGCTGTTGCAGGTGAGTCTCGAAGTCTTCGCAGCATGTAAACTTCAGTCCACACTCCTGGCATGCAACCGTGCACTTAACTACAAAAGAAGAAAAAGAACAAATACGGACTTGAGTATCTTATAAATTGTCATTTCATGCATTACATTTTGAACGGCATGCAACCGTGCACTTAACTACAAAATAAGAAAAAGAACAAATACGGAGTTGAGTATCTTATAAATTGTCAGTTCATGCATTACATTTTGAACTTCAATGAGTATACAGAATAAACTGGCATCTGATTTTGTCAATAAAACAGGTCAAATAATTATTCTGTGAAGTTCGAGCTGACATTTTGCACTGTGGTAGAAAAAGCAGCAGGTTAAATACACTTACAAGACTTTGTGGCTCTTCTCTTCATTCACTGATGACCAGGCATCTTAACACTGCTTCAATATCAGAGTGCTGCACATTAATACACTTCCATTTAGATACCGTCGCTGCTGTGCAGGTTGGATTCCAGTTATTTTTTAAGTAGCACATGGGATATGCATCTTTAAATTAAATCAAGTCAGCGTCTGCTATTTTGCTTAAAAAATTACTCAATTATTGAAGTTGCTCATTAAATTCAGTCCAGTTACTGATAAATCAACCAGTCATTTCAGCTTTGAAATAGTAAATGTGAGATGAAATATGATCAGCAAAAAGGACTTTTAAAATGCATTAAAATACATTTTGTGGTCCCATTTTGGTTATTAAATCATTTAAAGAGAGAAGTGCCTGATAAGTTTTACATTTTCTACATTGGGCTTGATAACACATTAATTAAATTGAATTTTAATTCATTAGTGAAATCAACTGATATAGTGATTATAATTAAATATGGTGAAAATTTGTGGCTATTCTGGTGCCACACACCAGGCCCCATATTTACCGTATCATGTGCTGTGCATACAATAGGCCAAATCAATTGTGTGAGGAGTAATGGTCTGCAGTTGGAAATAAACTAAATACATATTAAGATTTTTTTCCTTTGCTTTCTGATCAGCAGATTAGTCTGAAGATGAGTGCCAATCACAAAACCAATATTGATAAACCAAACTGATAATTCTACCAAAAACAAGACTCCAATTAATTACACAACTTAATACTTCACACAAAATTTGATCAGTTTATTTTTAGCTTTTTCTTCTTTGTTTCAGAAACAGCAAGTTAAACAAGTAGTCAAAAGGTGTATTGGTCATCTAGGGGGAAATATGACTTCTGTAAATTATCACAGTAACGTTCAATAATTTTTCCACTACATAAATGGTAGAATAAACTAAGAAGCATCCAAAAATGATCATAAGCACTACTGAGTAATAAAAAATGAATCAACAAAGAAAGAATACAGGAGTGTAAAAATCAATTAATGCAAACTGCATTGAGTATAACAATTGCTTAACTGTTAGTTGTTTAACGGTAGTAGCCAGTTACAATGTTCAGCACCAGGACACCCTCTACCAGCTCACATTACTGAATTTCACATACTGATGTCAGTAGCGCATTTCATTTTTCAGGAAATTTTTAAAGGCATGACAAACATGGACATGCATACAAGTTTTTTTTGTTTGTTTTTTAAACCATACCAGTGATCCCCAAAGAGATTAAGGTTCAGCTGACAGAATATTCAAAATGGGGACAAAACACATGGTGACTCAACACGATACCTTTGTGACATTTCAATACAAGTCCTTAGAAGGTGCGAGTCATTAATGTACATGTACTAGTCCAGTGTAAAGGAAAGCCTGAGAAGAGAAAAACCAGCTACTATGTATAAAGGATCTCAAATAATACTGAAACAAACAGGGAGAGCATTGTGTACTTAGACTACACTAAAGGTCTGAGGAAAATGTCTAGCTTTACATATTTGGCAATCTCAAAAAGACACCTCCACAGTCTATAGTGCCAATATTTCACTTATCAGTTTCTTTAGTCTAATGCGCTCCATGTGCATGTTCAATATAGTGCTGGTGTAAATCGGTTTCTTGATGAAAAATCGGTTCCACCTTCAAGACAAGTAAGGCCATTGGTATCTCCTGATGTGACAGCAGCACTCTGCCTTTTATAGTCACCAGCACATTCCTGGCGATGATCGATAAGGTCCTGTATCTCACTGAAGGTCCTGGGGCAAAATAGGGCAATGATATGAATCATTGTTAGTGTGCTGAGTTTCATGTTTGTGTAACGCAGTCGGTGAAAGGAAGGCTTTGCCACAATGCTGGCACTTATGGCTACTTTGTGACTGGCTGTCTGGGTTTAGTGCAGGACCATACAGTGTAGGGGATGGAAAAGACTTGCCTCTGTGGTCAGCAGAGGTGGTGGTGGGTTTTAGAGGCTTCGAGGTCATAGCTGCACTGAGCCTATAATGAACTTCATTTGGGAGACGACAGCGGACTTCATCATGCCAGGCAAGGTGCTGCTGCAGCTGATTCTCAGCCCAAAAGCCCTGACAGCAAAGGGCGCAACAATAAGGCCGGCTCTTAGCCTTGGTCTTATGGATTCCCAGTTGTTCCTCTGTTTGGAAGGCTTTCCCACAATTATCACACTTAAAGAGGCATTTAGCTGTATGCTCTGACAAATGGCTGAGTGGTGGGGAAACCTCAGCCATGGCTTCAGAAGTTTGGGCCTCCTGTTTAGACCCCTGCTTTACCTCTGGGCACACTTTCTTATGGTCAAAGAGTGTACCTGTGGTACTGCACAGTTTCCCACAGTCAAGGCATGAGACAGATTTCACAGGCGTGGAGTCTAATCCGATTCTTGTTTTTCCTCTTCCAAGAGGACTACTCTTTTCAAGAGGATAACTGCTCATTGTTTGAGTGTTGTCAACAGGCGAATAATCTGTCTTTCTGAATTCACTCCTTGAGACACTGGACACTGTTTTTGTACTCAGAGGGACCTTATTTTTGCCTTTTGTCTTCTTGGAGTGGGCCTGCCACTTGTGGGCACGCAAACCTCTCGCTTTAGCAAAGGTCAGAGTGCAGAAGGGGCACTGGTGGACTTTTGGCTTCAGTGCTGAAGACATGAGCTCACCGTCACTGATAACCTGTTCTGACACTTGCTCTACAGAGATGAGCCTCTCTCTTTGAGGAGCTGCAGCCACCAAAAGGTTACCATGCTCATTTTCATAGTGGGCAACTAGAAATGAAGCTTGTGCAAAAGTCTTGTTACATTCTAGGTATGACAGCGCTGAGTTTTCCATTGCACTGCTGCTCTCTGTACTTTTGTCTGGCTCACTTTTTTTAGTCTGACACTGAGGATTAAACATCTGGTGACGCTGGAGAACACAATGGTTAAAAAACTGCTTGCCACATTTGTTGCACTGAAAAGGCCCATCCTCTGATTTGTGGTTAACAGATGTCAAATCATCCTCTTTTAGTGAGGACTGTGACTTCTTTTCTCTGTGCCATCTTTTGTGGGAGCCGAGGGCCGAGTTGGACATGAATCGCCTTCCACATTCTGAGCAGTGAAATAACCCCTTACTTGGCTCTTCCCGTTTAGGTTTCTTTAGCATTACAGACATGGCCAGTTTTGCTTTTGCCGCAGATCTATATCCCTCAGCGTGAATTCTTTTATGAAAATTCAAAGCTCCAACCACTGAAAAACTTCTGTCACACTTTTTGCATTTGTATTTCAAATACGTTTCATTTGGGTTTTCTACGTTGCCCACACCTGCTTGATTTTCCACCTTTAGCTGCCCACTGCCCATTTGATTCTTTACTTCAGTATCAAGTGTGGAGTGCTCAGATCTTTCCAGTGTACTCATACCCATCCTATTCTTGTGCAGTTTAAGAGCATCATTTTTTCCTGAGGGTTCTGTCTTACAATCGACTGCTTGACTCTCCCTTTTAATGCAAAGCCTGCGATGAGCCCGTAAAGAGGCCTTGTTGCTGAAATGTGCACCACATGTTGCACACTGGAGATCTTTTGGCGTGACAGTGGATGGTGATGACGAGTGCCCAGACTCATACCCATGGCTTTTCATATGAAACTGAAGTGCTTTGGCCCGTGAAAAAAGCTTCCCACAGTCAGGACAGCTGTAGGTGTTCTTTTGCAACTGCTCCACCTGATGCTGAAAAGACTTAATGGGTGGTGGGAGTAACTGGTCATTATGCACCACCTGGTGTCTGAGGAGGCTGGAAAAAAGCCGGAATGACCTGTTGCAGAGTTCACATCTATGGTTTCCATTTTCATGTTTTCTCATGTGTAGTGCCATAATGCCCTTGTGACGAAATGTTCTACCACACACAGGACATGCGACCTTTACGCTGGAGCGCGGATGACCATTAACAGATCCGGTGCCACCTTTTCTTAGCCTCAAATCTGCACACTCTGTCTGACTTTGCTTGTGGTGGGAATAAGCTCCTAAAGACCAAAAACCCTTCCCACACTTTTCACAATGATAAATCTTTGGGCCTAGAAGGGTTTTCTTTGGATTGTATTCCTTCTTAGTATCCAAAACATTCTCTCTCTTTTTTGCAGAGCAGTTTTTCATATGGTTAAACAACCTAGCTGCATGAAAATAAGACATCATGCAACCTGGGCATTGGAATTCTTTTCTCTTGGGATAATGCAACTGATCTAATACACTGTTGCTTGAATTATGATCACTGTGTTTTTGAATATGACTGTGGTGTGCTGCATAACTACTTGCTTCATGACCACATATGTCACATGTGTAAACTGCTACTGACTGACCAGGAGTCTGCTGTCTTCTATTACGAACACCATGCCACATTCTGTGAACACGCAGTGACGAAGCGCTAGTGAACCATCGGTAGCACTCTGGACAATCAAATCTTTCCCCCGTTATTTTATTCTCTGCTTCTTTCGCTGTCAGTGCGCACTGCTCATCAGCCTGCTCAAAGTCAATCTGCACAATTTTCAAGTCCATCTCTGGTTTTGAAACAAGACTACTGGGGGAAATGTCAGTGTCATCATTGTCTCGTACCTCCTGATCTGATTCACAAAGCAGCTCAAGATCAGGATTCAGGTCCTGGGCAGACTCGTCCTCAGATTCACTTGCACTGATCACCTGAACAATAAAGTCCCCAGGTTCATAACCCTCCACATCTTCACTGGCCTCATTTACAAGTGAGTCTTCAGGAATCATAGTGGTTGGAGAAACACTCTCTGATTCGACTTTTGCCACCAAGTGTGCAGTCTCTTTTTCTTCACTTGACAACATTTTCTGTTGAGGTAGCAGAGACGTGCACATCTGAGCCTCCTTCTCTGTTTCTTGGAAAACATCTGTGTGATGAAGTTGATGCGATTGAAGTGCTGAAGCCCGGGAAAACTTTAGCTTGCAAACTTTACATTCAAATGCCTTCTTCTGTAGCTGACACACTTGATGAAGAAAGGACTTTGCTGGCATCTCATCGCTGTGCACCATGCGTTGGTGCCTGTAGTAGAATGTTAGCGTCATAAATACTTTTCCACATTCCTCACACGAGAATCTTTTCGCAGAATTCTCTGACTGATTAGCATGCCATCGCTGATGGTTGAAGAGGGCGATCTGGCCACTGAAACCCTTTTTACACTCGCTACAGTAAAACTCATTGCAGTTTTTTTTTGGTTTTTCTTTAATTTCTTCTGGAGCACACTGAGTGTTACGGCTAAAACGTTGGTGTGTTTTCAGGCGCGTAAGAGCAGAAAAAGCTTTACCACATGAACACTTAAAAAGGTTTTTAGGAGTATCACCTGTCTGGTTTTCACTGGGGTTGGCTTCAACTATTGACTCTTCAGTGGGAGGTGACTCTCCTGAACTCCTGGTCCGTGATTTTACTAGCTTTTCCTCGTGACAACGACGGTGTGCATCAAGAGCTGAAGCGCGAGAATAATTCCGCCCACAAGACTCGCACTGAAATGACTTCTTTTTCAAATGTTCGAGATCATGAAAAACTGATTTGGAGGCTTGTCTGTGTGAGCGCTGATGGTTGAGAAAGTGTCCAATCACAATATAACATTTTCCGCAGTCTGGACACTCATAAGTGGGCTGTTTTGTTATCCCAGAATTCATCTGAATACCAGACTCATTTTGGGAGCTTTGGCCATGGTTCTTCTCCATGTGTGAGTGGAATTCACTCAGTTCAACAAATGAGACTGAACATAAAGTACAGAAATGAGCAGTTTCGCTGTTTTTTTCTGCATCATGTAAACCACCCAACTGGTCATCTAAGTATACATTTTCTTGCAGGTGCTGATGGCGATGCTCCAAGTAGACTGCCTCCTCTCTGAAGGCTTCTCCACAATCCTGACAGCAGAAAACCCCAACCCCTAGAAGTAAAAAGGGGAAAATAGGAGGTCAAAGCCACTCCTGTTTCCAGAGAAATTAAAGGGGGAAAAAAATCACAAAACTACAAGTGCAAATCATGTCTTTATTTTAAAAGTAGAATTAGACTTTACAGTATAATCAAACAAAAAGGTTTTTCAAATAAAATGATAAAAATTTGATTATGAAAATATAACTCAGACGTGACTTCAATCATTCAGTTTTACTGATCAAACCTGAACAGTAAAGTGGTTTTAGGTGAAACATCTGGTTCCAACAACCACATTTATGCCAATTAAACTTGCTCTTAATGCATAGCATAGTGATGACCTGCACATCTAGAAATCTAGAGCCTTTAGTCTAGGGTTGCACCAGCAAATAGCAGAGTAACTGACAATGTTCGAGCCATTTTGATGCTGCCCTGTTGCTACTTTGTGCTGTCATGCAATTTGCATTTAATCTTTTGTTCAAATTTGCATTCTAATATTTTCTCTGTGTGCATTTTAATGTTTTAGCTATTTGTGTGCATTGTGTTAAGCACTTTGAATTGCCTTTGTGTATGAAAATGTGCTATGTAAATAAATGTTGCCTTGCCTTTCAGTAATAGTCATGTTTTTGACATAAAGTTGCATACAAAATATCCTTGAGCACAAGCACATGAAGCAGTGAGGACACCGTTGTCCATTGTCTGACAATAAAAATAGATGCCACAAAACCTATTGTTCTTTTTTCAAAAACAGTGTATGCCATTTTGTTTTCACACAGCTATACCAAAGAAAGACATCTTTAACACACTCTCACTAGTTCCATCATTGTTAAGAAAATCGGTGTACTTAACAATGAGAATATTTCACTATGATTCTAAACCCAACATGTGTGTTGTCCAAGGGCACTACTTACCTGGAGAGTCCATTTAAAGATTAACACAGCCCGATTGTCTCACTACTTACCTGGAGAGTCCATTTAAATTAAGATTAACACAGCCCGATTGTCGGGCACTACCAAAACTCGGTACCAAATCATCTTAACTGGCATTATTCAGGGGAAGCTGGCCTGCAACCAATTATATGATCTTGTCAAGTTCTTACAAAGAACACACTAGTCCTAGGTTATCAATACTTTTTATGTTACTACTAAAAATCTAATGCTGAACCTATGTACCATCCAATATTACTCCAAATGTAATGCAGCAAAGGAAAATAGCATTTTTATGATGCACTGCACATTTATTTTGCACACACAAGAAGTGCAGGGATAAGCCGAGTGTGTTTCTGTCAGTCAGTATCACATTCTGGACCAGGGATGTTCTTATTCTAAGTAACTAATGAAGCAAAACAAAAAATTCAAGTGAACATAAACCTGATACTGAAGACAAAGCTTATTCAGCTGTTGCTAAATGGTTAATAATGAAAAAGAAAATATCACAGGAAAGCATGAGATGAGTGGGTCAACAGTTGTCAAAGACTGAACCCAGGGCCTCATACATACAAAGCTGTAACTAAATGCAAGCTGTGGATCACTTTCAGCACAGTAGAGGTCAACACTGTGCACAGTGCTTCAACTCATCAGATTTCTAAAGACTAAAAACAAAAAACAGTTTTCATAAATGTTTTGCGACTCATAAAATACTAAAAAATTGTAGGTCAGCATTTCACCTCTGTGGTCTCACAGCTCGGCCTGGCCACATAGTGAATACTGTTCAACAGGACTGCAGTTATGGTATTTTTCCATCACTACACGAGTAACGAATTTCATAGTGTGAACAAGCTCCTGTGTAGAACTCCGCTGCCTGATAATTAAATAAACGTCAGTTTATGCTTAATGGCGATATGCATTTGCCATAAACGTGGTTATTTTCGATAAGTACGTTTCATATATTGTCATGTTTCTACGCTGAAGTTGTTGTAGCGGGACACAACGACTCACCAGTGCTAACAATGTTAACGTTCAAATGACGGCTTAATACTTACTGTCAGCGGTGTCCTCGGCCGATGGAGCGACGATGTTTTCAGATGTTCTGTCTCTATTGCGGGGCTGGTTTTCTGCTCCATCCTCTTCGATCGCCACAGGAACAGCTCCGTCCATCTTGGTGTGGCTATTTGGTATTACTAGCTTACTTTAGCTACTGATCATTAGCTTAACGGCGCCACAGTTGTTTGAATATTGGCTTACTTATCAGCGACCACTCAGCGCAAAGCCTAACTGAAAATGGGTGGATGCAAAGTGTATGATAATCCAGTTTATTATCACACAGCACAACAACAACTTCTTGGTCAGTTTATATTGATGGCAGTGATAAAGAACAGCAAAGCTAGCTGTTTTGGTCACACACACATCTGCTCTGTATAGCTGCGCATCCTTCGGCGGAAGTGGATTCTTATTCTTCTTCTTCTTCGTCGTCGTCTTCATCGTCGTCTTCTTCTTCTTCTGTTTTGTTTCCTCCAGACAAGGCTGGCAATCTGAGGTAGTGAATAAACCTGAAAATAAAATCTATTATTCTCAAAGGAATCTGCTCACACAAGCAAGGTCAAATGAGCACCTTCAAAAAGGCTCCAGGCCAAATCAGCAGTCGTCATTCTGATTCCGTTTAGATCATAAATGTAATGTTCTTTGTTTCTGCGGATCCCAACCGGACAATAAACAGTTAAATATTTCACTGTGAAATTTTCGGAAAAGTGGGGACACCTTAAGTTATTATGGTAATAACATTATAAATTGTGACATTGTTACTTCACTACCCCTCAACAGTAGTCTACATTAGATGATTACATTTTGTTCAGCTTGATCAACTGCAACAATAAAACATAATGTATAAATTAATGCATCCGTGATAATAACACTGGGCCATTTTCCGCATGGAGTACTTTTTGATACTAGTTAATTTTTTTCTAACTAATACTTCTACTTAAGTGATGGTTTCAATGTAGAAGTTTTTTAAATATTGCATTTTCACAGTAGTAAAAGATTAAAAACGCATGATCACAAATTATATTCACTATTATGAGAATAATTTAATGAATAATTTTTATGTGGCATTTTATTCTCAATTTAGCCAGTTAATTAATGTAACACTTGCAGAGTTTCTTCCTCCAAGCAGGGACAATTTCATAGAGAAAACACCAAATTTATAACCACATGCCTTAATTAATCTTGATGCATACTTGCTTTATATACTTTTATTTTTTCATGACAGAATTCAAAATAATAGATTCACATCTCCAGGAATAATAATTGAATTTGCTTTAAAAATCAAATGTATAAGAAGCTAATTATCATAAAAATTATCATCCTTAGAATTTGTACCAACAATTAATCTATAAAGCTACTGGTTAAATGATGGTCAGCCCTGAATTAAGGTGCCAAACAAGTACTGCACAACACAACATTATAATCAAAGGCAAGTTTTATTTAATCCAATATGTAGACATCATGGGAAATTTCTATTTCTTTCCATGCTAAAACAGTGGATAGAGGTAGAAGGGCATGTTTTGTATCTTAAGACATGAATGTTAAAATGCACTGAGACATATTTTTTTTTCCCACAAATGGACCTTGTGTTTATTTTACAGTATTAATGAAAAATTTCAGTCATTTATTGGGCAACCAAAGCCACTCTATGCCCATTTTCATAACAAAGGAGATGGGATTCTGTGCTCAGCTAAATCTACAGTTGGTGAAATATTCACAAATAATACATTGACTCAAAAGTGGACTTAATTTTACAGTAGATGTTAAGTACTACCAACCACAATCTTTTTTAAAGCCTAATTGTGCAGTGTATCATTCATGGCACATTGCCAAACATTAGCTAAATTTGACAGATTAGAGCAAAACATATTTTAGATAATTGATTTCATATTTGCCTCATCATTCTAAAAACATTAATGACAAAACATTGCATAAATATAAATTTATCACTAAATTCATTTTGACAAGTGCCAGCAACAATTGTGTAATGACACTACTTTCTCCCAGTTCCCAATAGTCAGTCGATGTTCAATTTACAGAAAATGCGTTTTGAAATTACCTTTACGTGTGACCATCACATTTTGTTTACAGATACTTTCACTTTGACTGTATAATGAGAACTTTAGTTATGAGATATATGGACCCAGCCAATGGCCCTGTGAATACAAGTGTTTTCTAACAGGAGTATACTTTATGTACTCAACCTTTCATTGTATATTCTGAAATATGTAATCTGTGAACCCCCCTCGCCCAAAGAAAGCAAAAACATACATTTCTTTACAGTAACTTAGAAAGAGTTGCTCTGTGTTTTGGGAGTGAGGTCACATTGTTGAGTCTACTTTAAGCACAAACTAGGCCTAGAATACCAAGACAGCAGACATGCAGACTACTCAGAAAAGGCACACAGTATACTATACATGAAGAAACACAGTTCAAATGGTTCAGGACATATGAACAGAACTATAAAAGTACTAATATTATCTAAATCTAAATGTTATTGGCAATAAATGAAATGTCGACCACAAAACCTCATTAACGTGCTTCCCCCTCAGAGAGTATTTAAGCCAGGTAAGTATTTGGATAACTTAAAAAAAAAGAGTGAAACTAATTTAATGGCACATGTGTACACCATTTCAAACAACACTGTGCAGTCTAATTTGGAGCTGAAAGACATAAAATCAAATGTGGATCAAGTGTGCAAATTTCACTTTTATGCATTTATTTCTAATGCCCATCTACTCAACTGGTCAAACTGCACAACTGAGGGTCAAACAAATGAGGTTCCACTAAATAAAAATTAGATAAAAAACATAATTATTGTTGCTAGTGTAGAAATGTTAAATCTCTCCTTGTGCATGTTGCAAGTAATGCATTTGTAGGTCCAGCTCTCGAGGAAGAGAGCACCCGCATATCATGCACTGGAGAAGCCGTTCGGGAGCAAAAGGCAAACGGGGTCCAAGTTTGTGAGGTTCAGTCCGTGGGGCAAGCTGAGGTAGGGGCAGGGTCTGTGGCATGTGTGACCTCTCACTCATGACTGCCTGTGGTGTGAAAAAAATATTTGGGTGTGGAGGTCTTGGAAGTGCACCAACTGCGACAGAGTGAAGAGAGTGAGGGCCAGGCAAAGGAAGAGGAGGGAGTGGAGCAAGTGGAGGTGAGAAAAATGGAGAAGGCTGATTTATGATTATTTGAGTGCCTGTTACCATTGGCTGTTGCTGCAGCTCCTGTCCATTCCCTGGTTTGAGCTGACCAGTAAGCAACGTTTGAGGACCCACTGGATTACTTTGGAAGCCCCATACTGGCGTTCCCATCCCCTGGCTAAAACGATGAGGGTCGTACTGAATGGAGATGGGAACCTTCTGTGTCGCTGTCTGACTCTGTACACTGGCCCAGCTAGATGACACCTGCTTTTGCTGTAGCTGAAAATCTTGATTCTTTACCATTTTCTCAGGGGTGTTTATAGTCTTTGGAATTCCTGGTGGTGTCTGTATGTCCCACAAGGTGCTACCTACGCCGTGAGAAACAGGAGTTGAAATTGGCATAGCACTGCTTTGGTCTATTTGTGTTGAGGTGGATGCACCCCCTAAGCCTGGAGCCCACTGCTTTTGTGGCTCACAGCCGTTCCATGGCTTCTCCGGCTGGCTAACAGTCGACGGTATTACTTGAGGATTACTCATGTCCCACATTCTACTGTCCTCTTTTTTGGGCGGTGTGGATGGCTCCTTTTGTGCTGACACTGGGGCACCTGGCCATCTCGGCAGCTGTAGCTCTTGACCAAGCTTATTTGGAGAGCTCTGTGAATTTGCTAGTGAAGTGGGTCTGATGCTCCACAGAGCTGCTCCATCAATGTATGATGGGGGAATGGAAAAATCACGCTGCAGAGAGCTTGTGGAAGCCAGCACAGTGGATGTGGGGGTGCTACTCCATGTAATAGCCTTGGGCTGTCTGTGCTGCTCCATCTCACTCCCTGCTAATGGACTGGATTTTTTGGGCACAGATGCCAAGTGGGAGCTGATCATACAAGCTGCACTCTCCTTCATGTGAGATGACTCTAAACTCTGAGCAGATGTGGGGCCTGACTGAGCTAGCAAAGGGCTGTCTGCCCAGCTTGGACTTCTGTGATGGTGCTGCTGTAGGCCTGGCTGTGGCAGGCTGTCAAACTTTGCCTGCTGCGGGGCTGCATGTTGCTGCTGTGACGATGGGGCAGGCATTACCTCCCCACCGTCCACCTTCCACTGCACCGGCTGAGGATGTAGCTCGGACATCCACGGTTCCTGCTGCTGCCTGCTTTGTAAATCCACGCGAGACGGGAGCATGGAAGACTGCGGGTGGACTGGCCTTCTGTGCAGCTCAGCCTCCCTCAGCACAGAAACTGAGAATGGCAATGACTGAGAGTTAACCATCCCTGAGCCTCCTAATGGTCTAGACCAGCCCCACATGAGCTTCCCCGCCCTCCTCCCTCTGGTCCCCCTGCCTCTCATCCTAGCAGCAATTGGGAAACAAGTATACTGGCTGTAACCTTGGCGCTTCCGAGCATGAATTTTCTGGTGTACTAGCAGGCTGCTAAACCAGGAGAAGGTTTTGTGACACTCATCACAGCGATGAGGTCTCTCTCCTGTGTGTGTGTTCATGTGATCACGGAGCAGATAAGCTAATCCAAAGCTCTTGTCACACAGATCACACTTGTGAGGTTTGTCACCATTGTGTGACAACATATGGTGCTGCAGTTGGATCTCATCACTGTAGCCTTTGCGGCAGCTTGTGCAGCGGAACGGTCTCTCCTGATGCAGCTTCTGGTGTGTTTTCATGTTCTGCAGGAAGGCAAAGTCCTTTCCACAGTCAGGACATTTGTATGGCTTCTTGCCTGTATGAATGATGAGATGCTGCTGTAAGTAGCTACTGAATCGAAAGCCCTTGCCACACACTTTGCACTGGTAAGGCTTATCCTTGGAATGTATACGCATATGTAGCTCTAACACTGATCGATGGCGGAACGTTTTTCCACACTCAGAACACTTGTATGACTTAATGCTTATGCTATCACTTCTCCATTTCCCCTGTAAATAATCACTGCTTAATGGATTGAACTGCTTTTTTGGTGGTGCTGCCACTCTTTCTAAGTATTGCGCTACAGACTTGTGGACACTTAATAGATGTACCTTTAAACTAGATTCATCACGAAAAATACTCGGGCAATGTGGACAGCTGTGTCCTTTGTCCCACTGTTTCTGAATGTCCCTCGGGGATCTGGGTGTTCTCTCCAGCTTCTCATACTCGGCCTCATGAATAAGCATGTGGGCCCTCAGGTTAGCTGGTGTGCAGTAGGTCTGGGGACAAAGGGGGCAGTTGAATGTGCGTCTCGGTTCTGCGCTCTGGTATGTATTCTCTTTTCCTGGCCCTCTAACTGCCTCCTGTGCAGAAACAGGGGCCTGCTTGCTGGGCTGCTCAATGGAGGAGTTGTTTACATGCAGTCTATGCTGGCGGCAGTGTGCCTTCATGTTCTGCGCAAAGGCAAATTTTTTACCACATTCAGGGCAGCGGAAAGGCTTCTGGCCTGTGTGCAGATACTGATGCTGATGGAGGAGACTACTATACTTGAAGGTCTTACCACAGATGTTGCACAGGTGAGCACGCGTGTTGTCTGTGTGCTTGCGACGGTGATTTTCCATGACAGAGTAGTGTTTGAAAACCATGCCACACTCTGGGCATTCATAGGGTTTGAGAGCGGCGTGACATCGCTGGTGGTAGTGGAGGGCTGTGGTGTTTGTGAAAGCCTGATTGCACTCTTGGCATGTAAAGATGTTCTCCAGGGAGTGGGTCATCACATGCCTAGAGACAGAAACTCTAGAATGGAACTCCTGGCGGCACAGAGGGCAATGGTAAGGCTTTTCTACTGTATTGCTGCAGTTGTGGTCCCTCAGCTTATCCACTGTAGAGAAGGTCCTCTCACATTCTGCACACTGAAAACTACCCTCATCCTTTGTTTGGACTTCCTTCTTTGGAGTTACAAGTTGCTCCTCCTTCTCTTTATGTTCATTTCTGTGTTTAATGAGGCTGCTGCGGTGCTGAAAGGTAAGGCCGCACTCTTTGCAGGTGAGAGGTGTGAGCTCATCCTCATGTGCATGAAAGTGGCGGTGAAGGTTGAACGTCTCGCGGCGGTTGAACCTCTTTCCGCACTCCTTGCACACCAAACGACACTTTTTTGGCTTAGCTGTCAAATCAGCATCCTCCCCTCGGTCTGCCTCTTCATCATCTTCACCCCCCTCCTCTGTCCCATCTATGTCTCCCACCAGGCCCTCAGCCTTTTCCTTTTCTGCACTCTTCTCCTCAGGATGCGAGTTTTCCTCCTCGTGGATGCCCTCTGCATCAGCAATAATGCTGTCACAACCATGGGACTCCTGCTGCACTTCTTTAACACTCTTTGTAACATTATTGCGGTCTGGAAGAGAAATGCACATCATAATAACAGCTTAGCAAAGAAAAATAAACAATCTGTTACGCAAACATGTGCGTGTAGCTCACACACCTATTCATCTCAAGTGCACATAAAAAAAACCTACAGTGCAACATGCTAGCTTGACTTTGTTATGGTAATCACCGTTAGCAGAGTTGGCAGTGTGTATTGAACCGTTAGTCAAAGAAACAGCCCAGGTTGGCCTGGAGGCTAAAGCTAACTGTAAAATACATTAAAAATGTTAGCATACCACACTTTTCATTCTCCCTCTTCTGTGTTTTCGCCTCTTCATCGTCGTTTTCAGTTTCGGACCAGTCGAAAGCCCGTAGTACGTCGCCAGAAGCCTCTGCCATTTTTTCGGCCGATGTTAGGTCCTCCGGTGAAGTACATGTCGTTTTGTCGGCTCCAGCACCGGACTCGACACTAACCTCAGAATGGCTGGCATTACAACCGCAGTCGTTGCCAACACTAGGTCTCTGCTCATCGTCGGGGATCTCCGCGGCTTTATTACATGTTTCACCTTTCTGGTTCGAGCTGCATCCCAACACACCCGCCTCGGACTTCTCCCCAGATGTTTCCACCTCCTCTGCAGAGGATTTCTGTCGCTTTGGAGACTCCGAAGGGTCTACGGCAGCCATGTTTCACCCATGCACCCCCTTGCCCAGAGCACACAAGGATCATGCTAACCAGCCTGAACAAGGAATGACATTTCCGATCCAAACTTTCAAAATAAAACACCAATGACTAACAAACAGCTAACGTTTATCTTTTCCTAGAATGTCATTTGATACCTTTAATTATAAATTTCCCTTTCTACTACAGCCGTGATTTGTTGTTTTAGACGCCAGATACTCTCTTCACAACTTAATTCACCAAACTTTCCAACATAGGCTATATATACAGTGTATACACACACACACATATATGTATATATATGTATATACAGTGGTGTGAAAAAGTATTTGCCCCCTTACTGATTTCTTATCTTTTTGCATGTTTGTCACACTGTAATGTTTCAGATC